AATCCATGAATGTGCCATTGATCATATATATCATTTCCTTCTGGGGAGTCCTATCTAAATATTTTATATCCATATCTTCAGAGACTGGGTACTATTATTCCATTTTAGTCAACACCTTGGGGGAAATACTGTCTACTAATATTATGCAGATGCATTTTGTATTAAAATCCTGGTCAGCTCCACACATTTGTAGAGTTAATTCTGGTATAACCCTTTGAGCATCAAAATAAACTTTTGTCATCTTTTCAAATTAAACCCGCATATTTTTTTCATTTTTTTTCAAAAATGGGGACCAAAAAATAAGTAAAATGTTGTACCAACACTCTAATAGAGCTGTGTGCACATGACATGTAATATGAATACTTTTTATTGCAGTGTGGTCGGTGCACAGGCTGCAGAAAGGGGAAGAGTTATTGAAGAATATTTAATGAGAAAAAGGCAAGCAGCTGTTAATAAAGCTAGGGGTGATGCACAGATGGGATGGATATCACCAGTAAGTACAAGTTTTTGATACGGCGTGTTTTGTCATACAATAGAAAAAAACAACTAAAACCAGTAAGTCCTTTTAAATCAGAACTTGATCTATAACTTGTGTGTAAAAGTGGATTTGATCCTAACTTGGAATGACAGAATGGTTTATTTTTAATCTGATCTAAAAACAAAACAAAATGAGTTGCATCAAATTATGTTCAATGCATGCACCAATTTACTTTGTATCTATACAAGACCAAGATCCAGTTCAGGAATGGCAAAACTACTTTGGTGTTTTAGCTGTCTTGAATCAGGTTGTGTTTCGTATGCTTTTTGTTTAACATGATGTATGAAGCGTGTGTGAAGTTTGAACATGATCTGTTGAGGCATACATAGACAGTATTAAAAGGCATTCATTAAAACAAAATTTTACCCAGTCTGCAAAGCAAAATGCTTGCATCAAGGTAATATAATGTTGAATGTACATGTATGTACCAAATTTGAAGAAAATTCTCCTGTAGTTAACCAAGATCTGGTTTTATAATGACAGAAATGATGTTGATGAATTTTTAGCACTAAAATGGCTGCCATTTGACCATTTTAAATTAAACAAAAACACAAAACCAATGTATGCGCACATGTGTATCTTAAAATGAAACATGTGTGTAAGAGGTATGAACAAGATTGTTTCAGGCATGTCTGAGAAACAACGCAAAGATGCACAAGAGTTAAATTATCAGCTATCGTTTTTGGACTTCAAACTAAGACTAAACATGTTGCATGAAAAAGGAAATGTTGATTTAGTTGTATATACCAGTAAGATGGGTTTCTTCTTGGAGTGTTATCAAATACTTGTTGTAGTCTGTATGAAGTGTATAGTCTGAAAACACTCTCCTGCTCTGAAGCATAGGTACTCATAATACTTTCTACTTTTAGGCTCCAGTAGCGTCCCCATCTGGTCAACCACCAATGAAAAGGGAAAATCTTGGTGGAGACTGCCCAGCTGCATTAGGTGGCAGAGACGTTGCAGAACGTGTAAGTAAATTCATATGATGTGGAAATTCTAGGCGGTTAAATTTTTAAATTGAAATACACTTCCAGAACTACCTTTGGTTTTCACATGCAAACAGTTGTTCATCCGCTTGTCATCTGAATTGCTTGAAGTTTTTTTTAAATATTTGTGTTTTGGATGTACTCTTGAGGTGGTTGTTTATTTGTTTTAATAGCTCTGAAATACCGTATGATATGTATATTTTGCTGTTCATTGTTCAAAGAGTATGTGAAAATCAATATATTGTACCAAATACAGCTTGGCAAAAAGTTTCCTGATATTAGAAAACTAACATGCAACCATTACAGACATGACAACACACACCTGGTTTGCTAACTAAACCATTCTCTCTTCACAGGAGTACCTGTCCAGACTAAGAGCTATTAGATTGAATAATTTCAATGAGAGGCGACAAATTGAGGAAAGGAAAGCCAGACAGGGTGTGAATGTTAGGGTGAGTATAAATCCTACTGTACTTATCTGCTAACTTTAACAAATCATTCAAACATTGTTCATATTCTTTTTATGTTTCATTATTAGAGAAGTATAGAAGGTGCACCTCAAGACAATGCTGATGTAAGAAAGAAGAAGATAGAAGCACTACGGGTTAGTTACAATAGTGAAACTATATGAATGCTAAACTAAATCCAAAATCCAGACATCCTCATCTTATCCCTGTTGTCACACAATAATTGTAAAGTTCTTTGTTTTAATTATAATGCCCCGAAATTGTACATGTACATGCAGTGGTAGCTGGAGGACTTTATTTTAGTTATGAATAGAATGTTGACAATGACAGAGAAAATGATGTTTTAATAGTGGGCAGTGCACAGTGCTATAATAGAATTTTATTTCACTTTATAGTTTCACTGAGAAACTTGCCAATTAAGTAAAATGAAACATTTAAAGGATTCAATTTTACAATAACATAGTTTAATACTTGTAGGCGCAGGCAGATGACAGGGCTGCGAGACTGAAAGAAGATTTGGAGCGACAAAGAAGGGAAGCCTACGAAAAAGAGAAGAAATCATGGGAGGATCATGTGAGTGTTATGATTAATAAGTACAGTTATTCCTGTGGTTTGATTCATGGCTGTTTCTGTGGTTTGATTCATGGCCATTCCTGTGGTTTGATTCATGGCTGTTTCTGTGGTTTGATTCATGGCCATTCCTGTGGTTTGATTCATGGCTGTTTCTGTGGTTTGATTCATGGCCATTCCTGTGGTTTGATTCATGGCTGTTTCTGTGGTTTGATTCATGGCCATTCCTGTGATTTGATTTATGGCTATTCCTGTGATTTGATTCATTGCCATTGTTGAGGTTTGAATTATGGCCATTCCTGTGGTTTGATTCATGGCCATTCCTGTGGTTTGATTCATGGCCATTCCTGTGGTTTGATTTATGGCCGTTCCTGTGATTTGATTCATTGCCATTCCTGTGATTTGATTCATTGCCATTCGTGTGGTTTGATTTATGGCCATTCCTGTCGTTTGATTTATGGCCATTCCTGTGGTTTGATTCATGGCCATTCCTGTGATTTGATTCATGGCCATTCCTGTGGTTTGATTTATGGCCGTTCTTGTGATTTGATTCATTGCCATTTGTGTGATTTGATTTATGGCCATTCCAGTGGTTTGATTCATTGCCATTCCTGTGGTTTACACCATTCGCTTGGTTCTTATCTGTTCATTCCCCTTTCTATAAACTTGTGTGGTAAGTCTATTCCTATGCTATTTATAGATATGTTTGTTGGAAGTCATGATTGGGCATGATAGCAAGTATCAAATTTATCTGAAAGATCAGCCTTGATGATATTTTGAAAAATTGGTCATATTTAATAAAAATATTATTAAATGTTTTCTACTAATTTGCAGTGTTCAAAAAAGATTGTTTAATTTCTTTTAATTCATGCTCTAATCTTTTATGCAAAACTTAGCTCGAAAATCATTATTGTCAAGCTAATTAAAAAAAAATAAAAAACCTATGACATGACATGCTTTGATGTATATATTTTTTATTTTAGCTGGCTAAGAAAGGCTTCAAGCAACATGGTCCTAAGGTTGAAAAACCAAAAGTCTTTGAGAAACCACAGGCAGCTGAAAGAAGGTATTAAAATCATAATCATAACATGATTGTCTTAAACATTGTTTTATGTAGTCATATAATATCACTTTGCATTTACCAGCATTGCAATCATTGTTATTTCTGTTATAATTTTCAGACCTGTTCCCAGAGCACCAATTCGGACACCAGCTGTACCAGGTGAGATGTTATTCAACAAAATCACTTCAGTAGCTTGATGCATTGTTTTATATTGATGCTGATGTTCAAAGTAAAGTATGGTTTATAAAAAAAAAAAAATCAACTATGCATTAATAAGAAACAACTGAAGCTCATAATGTATGTGCTGTTTTCTTTATTTTTGACTTGCACAATCAGAATAGGATGCAAACACGAATTATTTTCTTCTTGTGTGTGAATTATTAGAATAATTTTGTTTGATTCAACAGTGATACATTTTTTTGAATGAAAATAGACATGGACATAATATTTGCAGTCAGATTTAGCGAGAATTACACACACATAATGACAGTGTCATTCCAAAATCTAATGATGTGACATCCAAGTTACACCCACAATGGTCAAATTTAAACCAAATTTAATAATTAGCTGGTTTTTTTTAAATAAACTGGGTTTGCAAATCAAAAGATAACACAAATTATGTATGTGTGTTTGTATGTATGTTTCACTGATATATCTCATGAACCACTTATCAGATTTCAGATCAGATTACTCTTGGACAATTTACAAAACAAATTAGATTTTGGTTGTAATCTGTTCTTGTTAATTACCTAATTTGCCAATAATTAGCCAATTTTCAGCTTTTCCATCGATATCTCAAT